CCTTCCTTCTAGAAAGCTCTTCATTCCTCCAAGAGTTTGCTGTTATCAGAGATCCTGACACCTGAGCACTTACACATTTTTTCAATCAGTTGAATGTGAAGAGATTTGCTTATCCAGCCCTTCCCTTTGTCTCCATCTCTGTCTGCCCCAAGTTCATCCCAAGTCAGTGTGTCTTCTCATGCTGCCCTTTAGGTGATGAAGAGGCCTCACACGTCCTCCAACCACATGCGGGCTCCATTTTAAAAAGCTTTTGTGCAAAGCATATTAAGGCCCCTGGGAAGCCTCAGAAGGCCCCTTCATCAGTTCCCATTCTCTTTGCCTTTTGTTCTGTTTACTGTTGTTGTGTAAGAAAGTATCCCAAACTTCAAGTTTCCAAGCAATCATTTTACTTTGCTCATGCATATGTGGGCCAGGAATTCAGAAAGGGCTTGGCCAGGCAGCTGTGCCTCATTCAGGTGCTTTCAGAAGTCGGCCAGGGCCATGGCCATCCAAAGGCTGCGCTGGGCTGGATGTCCCAGATGGTGCCCTCACATGGATGACAGTGTGTGCTGGCTCTCAGCGGGGTACTCGCTGGGCTGTGGATGAGGACACCACAGCCCGGCTCTAGCTTGGCAATCTCAGGGTAGAACCAGGAAGAAGCTGCAAGGCCTTTTGTAGCCTCAGCGAGATTCAAGGGGAGAGGAGTGTCATAATCATGTCCATAATCATAGACACCGTTGCCACTCCCAGAGAAATGGGATCCTGTCATAGCATCCAGAGCATTGTTCCTCCAAGACCACTTTCCCCAGCACGTTCCTGGCTGCCCCCAGCCCCATTAGATCTTGTAGGCTGATGCTCAGAGTGACTTCCTCCCGTTCTTCTGGGATGGCGACTCCTCGGTTCCCTCAGTTGCTGCTGCAGGGCAGTTGGGTTCTGATCTGGACTCTGCTACTGTGTGACCATGGGAAAGTGACTTCACCTCTCTGGGCCTTTGGACTTCACCTTTCTGCAAAGTAGGAATTAGGAACACCTTTATTTATCAAGCTGTTAGGATTTTAAAATATACTGTAAAGAGCAGACCTAGCACCATTGATGATCCTGACTGTGGAATAAATACATGTGGGCAAGTCCTTTTTTCTCTTGGAGATCTGGCTCACTTGTCTCTAAACTGTGCTAATTCCCTTATCCCGCTTCCATGTCCAGATGAGAGGAGGTTTTAAATGCTCTGAGGGAGGGTCAGCCCAGCAGTTAAGGCTTCTGGACCCCAACCTGGGCAGGAAGCACCCCGTATCTATGCCCATCTGAGGGGATGCCCTGTGCTTGCAAGGCAGCCTGGGTGTGCTTTGGGGCACGAGGGGCGGGGCTGCTGTCAGCCGACCCAGCCTCATCAGGTCTGGGCTGACCAGAGCTGGTCCCAGTAAAACAAATAGGCTTTGAGAACCAGGCTGGGGTGTGGGACGTGGGGCGGAGCCCCGGGAAGGGTGTTCCACCCAGAAGGGCAGAGAGCATGGGGTGGGGGGAGCTGCCACCCCCAACCCTTGCCAGGAAATCCAGGTGTGCTGCATACCCCAGCCTGCCCCATGCACGAGGGTCTCTCCAGAAGAGGCCAGAAGCATAGCTTTCTCTGGTTGGACCTCCTCAGGGGGCGTTTTGCTGTTTTTATATGGAGAGGCACCTGTTTCCAGTTTCTTCACTGGGGCTGCGGGTGCTGGAGCAGGCCTGGTGGCCTAAAGGACTGTTGCACTGGGCTCGGCCCTCCCGGCACAGCGCCACTCGCCGTCAGAAGCCATCTGCAAGCAGGCAGCACCTTCAGGCTGTGATGGGGGAGAAGAGGAAGTGCGGGCCACGTGGCTTCAGAAGAACCACACCCAGGGTGGTTGGGTCTGTCCAAACACGAGAAAGGAAACTGCAGAGGACAACCTGGGGACGGGTACCTGAAAAGAGGCCTCGCCACAGACAAGCCAGGGTCCGGGGTGCCATGGCCCTTGTGTTGAGGGCAGTCTGCCCAGGCTGCTCCAGAGGCCTCACAGCCATGATCAAGGGTGCTGGGCATTGGGGAGTTGGATCTCAGGCTTAAAAACCTGAAGTTGACTTGGGCTCTTTCCTCACCCTCACTACTCATCCAAAATGCCTCAAGTCCCCGTCATTTTCCTGCCAAAATGTCTACAGTCTGCAATCTTATTTCTGACCCTCCACAGCCAGCTTTCAGCCCAGTTGTTGGTGAACTTCTTTACCCAGTAAAAGGACTCTCCCTTCTTCCATAGCCGCCTTCTCTGGTCTGTCCTCCACACTGCAGCCAGGTGAGCTTTCTGGAACAATATAGTTGCAGGCTTCCCCTGCCTCGAACCCTCCAGGCAATCACCAAGCCCTCGGGCTACATGTATGAAGTCCAAGTGCATGGAACACAAGGGTTTGGGTAGTCGAACTGCTGCCCACTGCTCCACCTCGGCTTGGCCAAACCTGCATGCACTGGATGGGTTTGCAGTGCTGCCCTGATGGTGGTTCCTGCAAGCCCCCAGCCTCTCTCAAGTCTCTGAGCCTTTGCATTTACTGCATCCTCGGCCTGGACATCTCCTTGCTCTCCCTTTGAACATCTGCCATTCGAACACCTCCTTGCCCTCCCTGCATCGTCCTGGTCTCCAGGAGGTTTTCCTAGTCCCCAGACTCTCCTGGTGCTCAGGCCCACGGTGTCAGGCACAGCACTCACCACATGGCGTGGACACCAATCTCCCCCGTACTGCTCCCTACCACCCAGTTCACTGAGGGCAGGGCTGCCCCTTTCCCCCACTCTGGCGCAGAGCCTGGCACAGGGTGTTTAGTAAACAGTGACCGAATGAGTGAAGGAAGATTGCAGCTGTGGATGCAGCAGTCTCAGGGGCTGAGCATGCGCCCGAGGGGAGAGCCAGGCATTGGGTCAGCAGCTGCCTGGGCCTAGGCTCTATGGTTGACTATTTTCTGGGCCCTGGCCTTGTGCAGAGGGTGGGGCAAACTGGGCTCTGGAGGGAGGGGTTAGGGCCATCAGTGCAGAGGCGAAGGATGCCTTTTCAGGCGCTTTCTCCTTGTCTCCCTGCTCACACAGCCGCTCAGACCTGAGTCCTGGATTCCCAGAAAAGCTGCAGGGCCCCACCTTCATCCCAAGGTTGGCCTTTTGAGGGGCTGAATTCAGACAAAGATTTTTCTGAACCTTTGCAGTCTTCTCTGTCAGAGAATAGATTTTTTTGCTCTGTGGAGGCCCATCTAGAACAGAAAGGTCTGGAGACACCAAATGGTCTTGTGTCTACAGGGCAGAGTAAAAGAGGGTGTAACCGCCACCATCCCGCCGCCAACCAACTCTATAGGAAAGAATCTCTCTCACTTAGAAATGCCTACGGGGAGAGAAGGTGCCAATGAGTGAACAAGAATATCTTGACCTTGACCTCTTATGTTTGTCACCACAAATAAACTCATGGACACCTGGTTCCTGTGAGCCTGGTCCATGAGAGTCTGCCACAGAGGGATGAGTCCATTCTGGATCTTCTAACAAAGCAGATGTCCAGGCCAGCTGAGCTACGTAGACCTTCCAAGTTCACCAAGAGAAAGCCTGTGGTATAAAAAGTGGGTCTTATGGTGGTGGGAGGAGGGAGAACTGGGTAGTGGGGAGTCCAGTGTATGGTGACAGATGGAAACTAGACTTGGTGGTGAGCACACTGTAGTGTATACAGACATTGAATTATAATGCTATGAAAGTTATATGATGTTACTGACCAATGTTACCTCAGTTAAAACACAAACAGAACAGTGGGCCCCGGAGCTGGATGCGTAGATTCAAATCCTGTTTCTGTTACTTGTTGCATAATCTTGGGCAAGTTACTTAATCTTCCTGTGCTTCTGTGTTCTCCTTTGGAAAAATGGTATCATTATAATATATATCACAGGGGTCATTATGAAAATAAGGTGGGTTCTACATGTGAAGCACTTAGAACAATGCCTGGCAGTGGGGAATCTTCATTATTAAGTGATAGGAGTTTTTATTCATTACAGTCCATGGGGGCTTATTCCCCCCACCCCCAGGACACAGTCCCCAGGGAATGACGTTTTCTCTGGACTTTTCCTCCAAGGGGGTGGTGGATGGGTAAGGTAGGAATCTGAGCGGTCAGTGGAGGACAGCCCCAGGCGCTGGTGCGCTCTGACACCTGGCCCTCCACAGTGCGAGGAGTTCTGATCTGCAGCGTACACCAATTTCCATGGTGTAAATTGTCCCACCACAGCCTCTACCAACTGCCTCATGAAATTCCTGAAAATTTAACAACTGAGCCACTGAGCCTGGGAATTGGCGAGTGAGCACAGAAAAACCTGCCTTGGGACCAAGAGACCGAGAGGAAATGAAGGAGGGGGCCATCCCGTTCTGGCCATAAACCGGGACTTCTCTAGACTAAGCAATGTTCCTCAAAATGCGGTCTGTGGACCACCTGCCATGTTGGGGGTATTTGGAAGAGTAAGTTCATGGGCCTCGCTCTGGATCTATTAAAGCACCATCTTGGAAGTCAGGCCAAGGATAATTTTTAAACAAGCCGCCCAGGTGATTCTGAAGTCTGAGCGCTGCTAGGTTAAGGAACCCGACTCGTGTGAGAAGTGAGAAGGGGCCGCAGGGCAGGCGTGCACTCTCCGGAATCATGTCCTGCCACAGCCCGTTATCGTAGTGAAGTCAGAAACCCAGGCCCCAAGAAAGACCAGAGTAAGCAGGGGAAACACCTGGACTACAGCACAGCTGGTGGTTCCAGGTGCGTGAAGTGACTGAGGACTAGTTGCCCCACCTCCCTCTCTGATCCAACCTTGGGGTCGGTGTGGTAAGGCCTGGCCTGGCCTGCAGCACAGCTCTCTGTTGGGACCTCACAGAGCTGCTGGTGAGGCCCGCCCTGCAGAGTGGGTGGAGCAGTGGAGGGTTCGCCCTGAGGACAAGGTGGGCCCACCCCAGGCCAGGCCCACCCCTGGCTCCGGACCACCCATGTACTGAACCCACTCGGCATCCTGGACTCTCTGGCTCTAACAACTTAAATAATTTTTATTACAAAAGGAAGAAAAGACCAAAACATCCCCCAAATTCTCCCATGGGCTTCCCCCTTGGCGCCAATAAATAAGGTGGGGGAGACTGACCAGAGGAGGGGTGGGGGTCATGGTTCAGCAGAGGAGGGGGCCGAGCCTGGGCAGGGGTGGCAAGAACATGGAGCTCACTCCCCTGGGCCCGGGCGCTATGATCACATTGGCTGGAACACAGAACTCTGCCCACTGACAACAACAGTCTCTGGGTATGTCCCGAGGAGTGTGGCCTGGGAGGAAGGACGTGTCTCAGGATGGCCAGGACGGCTGCCCCACTCTGCGGCCTTCCAGGCAGCACTGGCAGCTCCAGGCAGTGCTGAGTCCGGCCAGCTCCCTGCTGGCTCCCAGGGAATCTAGCAGCATCAACTGAGGTGCAAGCCCACTGAAGGGGGGCTTAAGACAGATGGAATGGGTTCTCCCCATTGGGGGAGGCAGGTATGAAGAATCGTGGTGAGAGCCGGTTGGGTTGGGACCCATTGTGCCAGCCTGGAGGTCTATAGGTTAGAAGGACAGACCACTCTCCTTGCCAGCTCAGCTTGCATCTCTGTCACCACATCAGGATGGGGGGTGGGGGGGGGATGCTGGCATCGCCCAGTCAAGTCTCAATGGTCTATCTCTGTGGTGGAGGAGATGGTGGGATCCAGTCCCCCACACTCAGGTCCCTTCCAGGGCCAGGGCCCTCCTGGTGGGGAGGCCTTTGGCTCCAGTTGGGCAGTTCCGGGAGGACAGTGGAGGGATCTTTTCAGCTGCCTGGCCCAGCCACGCCCAGCGAGTGAAAGCTGCTCTCTTCCAACAAGAGCCGTCCCAGGCGGTAGAGAAGTTGGGGGTACCAGTGCACACCCTCCCCCGGGGTCCAGCTGCCCCATGTCAAGCTGTGAAACAGTCTCAGGGGCCAGAAGGCCAAGTGAGCCAGGTGGTGGTCAGCCACGGCTGCGAAGCAGGAGGCCACCACGTCCTCTACCACCAGCGTCCCATGCCTCGTCAGCGGGGCGTAGGCCCCAAGGGCAATGTGTGTGGAGACAGCTGCCACTCGGGCAGGCTGCAGGCCGGGCGCCCCAGCCACCAGCACATACTGGCCAGGCTGCACTTGACTGGCAAACGTGGCCCGGAAGTGGGCTGCTGGTTCTGTGTGATTGTTGGCGGTGAAAAGCAGGTGGGCGGGTGTGAGTGCCAGGCGTCTTGGGGGGTCCTGGGTCTCGATGACCTGGAAGACCCTCAGCCTATTTGGCTCCCGATCCAGGAAAATGAGCACTTCGCTGAAGGTGGGGTTCCCATCCTCCCCCATGGCCAGCACCCGGTCTCCCGGCCTCACGGCTGACAGAGCCACACGTGCCCCACTCTCCAGGCGCACCTGGGCTCCAGCAGGGAAGCAGCCGCCTGTCTTGGCTGCCGCTGAGTGTTCTGTGGGAAGAAGGGACAGGAAGGTGTTACTGCTGCAAAGCTCGGATTCCCAGTGACAGCACCCCTTCCGAGCCCAGCCAGACCTCCCCTTGCTCCCTGAGAGCCCCCCTCACCATGCCTTGGCCCCTTTCCCCACTTTTCTTGCAGACTTGAGCTCAGTCCAACCCACGGTGTGATCCCTGCCCTCCTCCCCAGTCTAAGCCTTGGCCAATGAGAGGAGCACATTGTGGCTCCACTGAGAGAGAAGAAAACAGCCATTTGGGAGCCCAGATGGAGCCACCCACTTGTTCTCAATCCTGACAATGTTGTGAAGTGGTAAGAGAGGTCAGAGGTCAGCTGAGCCAGGCGGTGGTCGCTGTGATTTGATGCCCAGAAAACTGCAGCCTCTCCTCTGGGGTCTGAATGTGCTATTATTTCTCACCCCTTAGCCAGATACCCCCCCAAATTGCCCTCTCAGACTGACACCCCAAGTTTTGTGCCAGAGTTGGCCCCTGGCTGGAGTCTATACGGAAGTGAGAGGAGGACCAGCTCAGGGCGATGCAGGCTCTGGGGAAGCCCGGCTCGGTGGCCAGGGTAAAATCATTGTCTTCAGTTTGTGTGCTGGGTCCTTGTGCAGGAAGAGGACACGGTGGCATCAGTGGGTGGGATGGAGGCCAGTGTTTGCGGGTCAGGGGCAGTGAAGGGAAGTGGCCACTCTGGGAGCTGGCACCGGGCCAGTGTTTGCAGGTGAAGGGTGGGTGTGACTTGAAGTGGATACTGTTGGCAGGAAAGTGCTGAGGGGGCGGGTGGGGTGGGGCTCCCACTGCGGACCCAGGGAGAATTGGGAACAGTAAAAAAGGGGGGCCTGGTTTCAGTGTGCGGGGTCTGCAAGTGCGGCTCCTGCCTGTGCCAGCGTGGAGGGCCTCGCCGGTAGTCACACGGGAACATCCGAAGCACAAGTGACTGGGTTCAGTGTGGGGAACAGGGTCACCGACAAGATCTGACAATGCCTGCCCATTCCGATCAACAAGGCGGCAAATCTGGGAAAATCCACTTTATTGAGTCCGTTCTGTTTATTCTGCCCCTCGTGGCTGGCTCTGCCCCAAAATGCCCAGCTTTAGGGCCCCTGAGGGAGAGGTTGGGGACGCCTGCGCCCCTGGGAGGAGCCTACTCGGTGCCCCAAAGGGCCCGCCTGCAGGCCCGCTGGTGGATTCGGAACCTCTGGGCCCTCCCTGGCCCCTGACCCGCCCCTTCTGCACCACGCGGGGTGGGAGCTGTGTCTGTCACAGCCTGGCTTCCACATCTGTTCAGCTTGCTCTGTCTTGAACCTCCTGCAGCGGGTTCTGTACTGTGGACCGCGAGGTTGGCACCCAGTAGCGCCAGGACAGGGCCCTGTCTCCCTAGGCTCTCTCCATTGACACTACCGGGCACGGGAGGAGCAGGCGGTCACAAGCAGAAGTGGGGAGCGCCGCCGACGTCCTCTTTCCCGGGGTTCCCGCCTCCAACCCCGGGCGGGTCTCTTCGCCTTCTCCGCGCCAGCGGGCCCTGCGCCGCCTGCCCACGCCCTGCGGCCCCGGCCCCGGGCCCAGTCCCCAGGCAGCGGCTCACCGGACTTGACGGAGCAATGCACGTGGGCCTTCGACTCGTAATACACCCAGTCGAAGCCGGCCTCCACTGCCAAGCGCGCCAGCAGTCCGTACTTATTGCGGTCGCGGTCCGACGTGGTGATGTCCACTGCGCGGCCCTCGTAGTGCAGCGACTCCTCCGAGTGGTGGCCGTCCTCGTCCCAGCCCTCGGTCACCCGCAGCTTCACGCCGGGCCACTGGTTCATCACCGAGATGGCCAGGGAGTTCAGGCGGTCCTTGCAGCGCTGCGAGAGCAAAGCACGGAGTTGGGGGAGGCGCTGGTCCGCGCGGAGGTGCAGGCTCTGCCCCGCTCTCCCCGAGCGCCCGCCCGCCGGAGCTCTCGCAGGAACGCGGAGCCCTAACTCGCCGCCTTCCGCTGTGACTCCTGGCTGCCCCAAGGCCCTGGACCGCACTGCGACGCCTCCAATCCGGAGGTCGGGGCAAGCCGCACACCCGTGGGGCTCCTTCATCTGAGAAGTAGCCCCTCCCTTCTGTAGTCTTTCTGCCCCTCTCGGTTTACCGACTCCTCCGCGGACCCGAGTATACCTTTCCAGCGCCCAGTGCCTCCGTCTCACGGATGCATCGGAGACCAGGGACGGCCTGCTACCTGGAGGGACGGGAGCCGGGCCGACCGCCTGGGGCTGGCCTGCGAGGCGTGCAAGGCCGGAGACGCCCAGTAGGTGTCACCGTAGCCTCAGGGCTGAGGCCCGGGGATCGCAGCCCCCGAGGCACGGCAGGTGCGGAGTCCCCGCAGCGTGGGGGTGTGTTGGAGGGAATCCCGGTACTGCCTGGATTCCTGGGGCACCAAAAAGCATTCCTTCTGGGACCCTCTTATGTTCGAAACCTGCCCGCAGCCATGCCCGAAATACCACAGCCCTAGAACCAGAAGCTCGTGGGAAGGCTAGTGCCCGGCTTGGCCGGCTAGAAGGCGACGCTGAGCGTCTCCTGCTACGAGGGACTCCCCGGGGTTTATGAATATGAAATGACCCCTGAGCCCAGAGCCCTAGAAGCTTCTGCGCTGCCCCCATCTGGGAAGAGACCTGAGGAACCCAGCCTTTAATTCCAGGGAGCCTGCTCCACGCTCCGCCTCGCACGGATGGGTGTAGAACCGCGCCCCCCGGTAAGGACGGTAGAGATCCCCCGTCTGTGTTGACTCCCCGCGTGCCTGCAGCCCAGAGGACCTGGCAGGTGACTGGGGGGGGGCGACAGGAAAGGGGCCCCTTCCACAGTCCTTCACTCTGAAGTTTGAAGCGCTGCCAGGTTTGGGCAGCCCGTGACCCAGCCTACCCCCACCCGCAGAGTCCAGGCCCGCAGACCCTTGGACTCGGTCTCCCAGGATCCAACCTCGGTTAGGACCCAAGGCCCGGCTGTCCACACGGCGAGCAGAGGAGCCGGGACGCTCACTGCCTCGGGAAGGAGCTTCGCGTGCTCTTGCCTCCGGGATCCTAGCTCTCCACCTATGTTCCCTGGCGCGCCCCTGCTCCCCGCCCCTTTCTCCCCCGCCACCCCCTCCTCGGGTCCAGAGCCGGGGCGCGCGCTGTCAATGATTGCCCAGCCCGTGGCCCGGATCCTTATCTGCATTCCTCTGCGCCCAGCCCGGCCCGGCCACCAGCCAACCTTCGCCCCGACTCTGGCCGTCCAGCCGCGGCGCCAGGGCGCATGCTGAGGGCCGTGGTCTAGCTGCTTTTCCTAAAGCACAGAACGTGGGCTGCCTGGCTGTGGGGGAAGCCCCGGGACGCCGCTGAGGAAGGGGACGTAGGTCTGTTCCCTTAAAGGGCCCGGTTGCAGGGAAGAAACTTTGCGCCTCCTCACCAAACCCCCGCCCCTCACTCCCCACCCCCCAAACCCCAGCGCTGGTACTGAGCGCAGATTCGAGCACGCAGAGACTGGCTTTAGCTCTGCTCCCTGCCTCTCCGGCACCCGGCCCCCGGCCCCCGGGTCTCTCCTTTCCAGTCTAACCCGTTACTGCCACCAAACCCAGGGATCCCCCAAGTTCGATCCCGGAGCCCGAACGCCCCTACCCCCTTCGCTTCAATGGCAGCTGAGCCGCTCGGCTCTCTACACAGACACGTGCGCTCTCCTGGCAAGTTCTCTCCCACCTCTATCTTCCTCGCTGTTCCTTAACCCCAGACCCCACCCGGACGCTGCTCCAGGAGGGGGCAGCGCATCAAACCAAGACCGCGCGTGGAGGAAAGGCCGTGGGGGCCCCTGTGCCCGAAGCCTCTTCATCTCGGGGTGCCGAATGGCTTCTAATTGAAAGAGACCCAGTCGTGCGGTGGGTTAGGCCTGGAAGGACCGTGTGGGTCCCAGAGGCACAGGGGGCAGCCGGGTCGAGGTGCCTCTGGTGCCGTGTCTGACCCGAGCTGCCAGCGCTCCGGGGCCGTGGGGCCGCGGCTAGCTGGCTGGGCCGTGGCGTTCAGCAGCAGGGGCCTCTTCTCGCAGCCGCCGGGGAGCTCGGGGAGGCCGACACTCCCGCCGGGACCCCTGGCTGTCCCATCTTGGGCATGAGGCGGTTGGGCTTGGCGAGAGGGGCAGGTGCCAGAGGGCGTGCCAGCCAGTCGAGAAAAGGTGCCAGAGGGGCGGGTAGGGCCGGGCAGGTGGCGGTGCTTCAGCGGCGGCGCCCTGGGAGCTGGGAGGGCGGGTCGCGCTCACCTGGGTCATGAGGCGGTCGGCGCCCGTGTTCTCCTCGTCCTTGAAGATGATGTCGGGATTGTAATTGGGGGTGAGCTCCTTGAAGCGCTCCGAGCTGCGCGCGATCTTGCCTTCATAGCGCCCGCTGGCGCCCAGGGTCTTCTCGGGCACGTTGGGGCTGAATTGCTTATAGGCGAGTGGCACGAGCTTGCGCGGCGGCCGCCGCCGGCTGCCCACCACCCGGCCCGGCCCGCAGCCCCGCGCCGCCGGCACCAGCAGCAGCAGCAGGAGCAGGCAGACCCGCAGTCGGGGCCGGAGCCGGGCGGGAGACATGGCCGGGAGCCCGGGAGCGCGGCGGGCGAGGGCGCCTGGTGGGCTGGTAGGTGGGCGAGTCGACCCGGGCCCTGCGGGGGCTCAGGCGTCGGGGTGGCTCCGGGGGGCTCCAGGTGGGGGCGCCATGGGCTGCGCGGCGTGGCGCAGGGCCGGCCGGACTCAGGTGCGGGGCGGGGGCCCGGGGCCCTGGCTGGTGGCGGCGAGCTGCCCCCTCGGCGCCTCGACTCTGAGCTGCCCGGCTCGCCCGCCGCCAATAAATAGGCCGGCCCGTTTGTTTTGGCAACGCGGCGGCGGCGGGGGGCGGCGGACGGCGGGGCTGCGGGCCGCCGGGCTGGGCTGGGCTGGCCGGGCAGGCGGGTTGGCGGGCCCCGCGGTTAGCACCCCGGCCCGGCGGTCAGGCGGCTCGGGCGGAGCGGGAGCTGCTGCCGTCTGCGGCGCAGCCCGGGGCCGAGTGAGAGGGGAAATGGAAGAGATCCGGGCTCGGGCCCCGCGCAGACCGCACCCTGCCCATGTCCCTGCCTCCTGTGTGCTCGACAGCGAACCTGCGGCGAGGGCGGCACAGCCTCCTCCCCCTCGGGCGGGCGGCCCCCGGCGCTAGCCAGCCCTCGTCCCGCTCGCTCCTCCGCCGCGAGTCCGCCCGCCCGCCCGCCCGCTGCCCTCCGCGCCCCCTGCGCCGCCTGAGTTTGCCCTCCCCGCCCGGACGCGCCCCACCCGCCTTGGCCTCGCCTCTGGGCTCCCCGCGGCTCCGGGGTGCCCCGCCAGGCGCAAACCTCCCGGACAGGAGCTGCCACCCCCACGGCGACCGCAACCCACGGCGCGGCCGGACGCGAGGGGCGGGGGGCTGTGGCCGGACCGCACAGCCGCCTACGGTGTCCCCTGCGGGGAAGTAAACCCAAAAGGCAGGAGGCCACTAGTAACCTGGTGCCCCACCCTGGCCCAGGAGACGCTCCCTCTGGGCTTGGTGGAGCTGAGTTCGGTATCAGTGCACATCCCTCGGCCCGCCGGGCGTGAAGCTGGGAGCGGGGCGTCCATCCTTGGAAGAACCAGTAGGGGTTTGGGGGGGCTGGAAACACTGTTAAAAGGAGCAAGATGAAATCGCAAAGGGACAGGCCAAGGTGCACAGAAGTGCAGCCGGAATGGAGACGTCAACAGGGTGCGGAGCTCCGCGGCCGGCCACTTTCAAGAGGGGCAACGCAGGTCTCAGCGGCGGGGCTTGCTAAGAAATGAAAGGAAAAAAAAATTCAAAGCCAGTGGCATCCAGAAGTTGCTAAATAATTGCTGTTTTAGATCCGCTTTACAAATTAGCAAGGGCATAGGCTATGGAGAGGCAGCTGGACAATCGAACGTGGGTTGTGTGTGTATTTTAATATGCAACGGGGTTAAGAACAAAACAACAAATCGCACATTTGACTTGGTTGAGATGTATTCTACAAAGTCATTAGCAATAGGAATAAAAGTTGAGAAATTAGAAGGTTTAAAAATTCTCATTACAAGAATACTAATACAATAGGTACAGTTTTATTGCTACTTATGTGCCTAGAACACGGAAACTATATTATTATAGCAAGTATTGTACTTGCGTTATTTAATTTCAACTCACAACACCGCCTCCAATAAACAAACAAACTCACAACCTCAAATGAGCTACATTATCCCCACGTTACAAATGGAGAGTTGAATTTCAGAGAGGGTAAGCAACTGGGTCCTGGCTGAGGAGCAGGGAAGACTCCAGCCCCAGGGGCCTGCCCCCAGGGCTGACGCATTGGCCCTCTCTGGACCGCACCCCTCATCCGGCACAGCCTGTGCATGGGGCTGGGGTGGCTTTGCATACATGCATCACATTTTGTCTAGAGCAGTTTTGTGAACAGAAGCTCAGAACTGGAAGGGACCCAGGAGAGTGCTTAACCTAAGCACTTGGTGTGACCAGAAACTGAGGCCCACAACAGGGAATTCGGGTGGCTCTGCCACCAGTGGAGTGGCACGCGTGTCACTTGCAAACAAAATGCATTGTTTCCTTTTCTCCCCCTTGGCTCACACTTCCTCCCCACTCCTCGTCCATTCTCACATTAACACTCGATTCTAGGTCTCCAGAGTCGTGATCACTCTGACGTTGCTTCTTTTCCTGGAAAGCTTTCAGAGCAGCGTTAACTTGTGTTTTCTGGGGTTCGGGAATTATCCCTGAAATATCGCTGCCCCCCACTCCACCCACCTCCTCCCCCACCCCCTCCGCAATTTCTGGGGCAGACCACGCAGTCAGGTCAATACCTCTCCCAATCCACACAAACGGGAGCTCTGTTTTTATGGAGTTCCAAAGGAGAAAATCCTACAGGGTTCCGTGGCCACCTGCCTTTTATCATCATTATCTATACAAATTTTGCTTCAAGTTTAATCTTTCTTCCTTCCTACCTCTCTAATGAAAATTCATCTCTTTTCCTCTTTTTCTGGCCTTAGCGACGAGGGCCATTGTCCTTATTATCTCGCATGCCTGTTCTTGAAGAGTGGTTAGATTCACTTTCAATGTCCTTTTCTCCAAGTGAAAGACGACTCCTTTGAGCTCCTCTCAGAGGTTCTAATCTACAACGATTTATTAACATTGTGTTTCTTCTAGATTGTGTACTGGGAGAAGCAGACAGGGCTGGCATTAACCAAATATTTTCTCTATGACAGGTGCTGTAAACACCTAGCACATCCTCACAGTCGCCCTTGTACGCAGTGGCCATTATCCTCACTTTACAGATCTACAACTCCAGAGCTTCAGAAATAAAGTAACTTGCTTGTAATCCCACAGCTAAGATTTGAACCTGGAGATTTTTTACTCCAAAGCTATATATAGTCTTTTCTCAGGACACAGTGGTGGTTCAAGAGCTGAAGCTCAAATTTAGGTCAGCATCCGTCCAATCTCCTTCGGCAGAGGAAGGGGGAGAGGAGGGGAGGAATCAGGAGCATCAGGATTTCTGCAGTAGTGACCTCAGAGCGCTTTTTATCCGACTGGGGCCTAAGGATGCTGATCATTTCTCAGCTGCCTGTGCTCTTAGCTGCTCAGTAGATGAAGGGTAGCTTTTGAGTTGGGCTGGTCCATTAGATCTCTCAGAAGAAGGCTGGCTCTTTTTCTGGTCACTGCCAGGGTCTTGTCAGCAGGGAAACTGGAGAACTAAAGTGTCCACAGTGGAGCCACCAAAGGCCTGGGGTCTGAGCAGCAGGGACAGAACCCGATCGGGGCACCTCACATCTGAGTCCTGGGCCAGTGGGTCAGATCATGTTCCTTCTCTCACTTGTAGAGCTTGACACCCTGCAGTCACCTCTATGTTGAAGAGAACAAGTAAAAGCTATCTCTCTGGATAACCTGATGAATATTATTATTAATTAATTAATTAACTAATTTATTTATTTATTTTGCTCACAGAGTGAAAGTTGGAAAAATAGGCTGGGAGGTAAGGGGGAGGGGGAGTGGAGGAAAACACACCCAGAACCTGATAATTTCATATCTGTTTAGTAGACTACTGTGTTAGTGTTTGCAGCCGATCTTGAATGTAATGTTAGAGTGCAAATATAGTGTATGGTGATATGTTCATATATGTGTGTGTGAATGTATATGTATTCACACACACACACACACACACACACGCGTGCTGTGTATGTCCGCACTTCTATATTGAACTAGTCTTTCTCTCCTCATCCTGCCACTTGACCAGACCAACCCTGCTCTAAAGCCACGGTGCGGAGCCACAAGCAAACAAGTGTCAGGAATGCAGTTAGTCACATCCCCTCCAGGAGCTCGGTGCACTGCAGCCGTGACCAGCAGAGAAAGCACTAGGCCTGGACTTGGCAGATCTGTGCCTGAACACTGTCTTTGACACCTTCAACCTGCATGGCCTTGGGCAAGTCACTGGACTTCTCTACATTTTTGTTTCTATAAAGTGAAAATACCACCTACCCCAGAGGGTTGATGAGAGGGTTAAAGTACAAGCTGTAAGTACAAATCTTATGTAAAATTCATTGTTATTCTCTGCCTGGCCCACTAGCAGTGGTCTCAGTTCTCCAACTTCCATTGCCCACGTAGGGGAGTATGTCAGGATGCTCACACGTGCGTGCCCAGGGCAGCAGCGGGGATGGGGAGACCTACTTCTCTCTACTAGGGAGCATCTGCCTTGTGTACACCAGCATAATAGGTACATGAGGATAGGAAATGCAGACAGAAAAGTAGAAGACACGGTTATTGTCCTCCGGGAATTTACTATTTAAACCTAAAGACACATCATGAAAATAAAAGGCAGTTACAAAGCCATGAATGCCACTTATGAATGACCACAGACTAATATCATAAACCAGTTAATACATAAGATGAATTTGGTCAGGAAGAATATGGAGTTAAGAAACATGTATACCCGAAACTAATATAATATTGGATGTCAACTGTAACTGGAAAAAAATTTAATTAAAAAATAAAAAGAGCCCTGGCTGGTGTGGCTCAGTGGATTGAGCGCCAGACTGCAAACCAAAGGGTCGCCAGTTCGATTCCCAGTCAGGGCACATGCCTGGGTTGCAGGCCAGGTTGGGCCCCCAGCAGGGGGTGCATGAGAGGCAACCCCCTGCTGGGAGGTTCTCCCCCTCTCTTTCTCCTTCCCTTCCCCTCTCTCTAAAAATAAAGAAATAAAATATTTTTAAAAAAAAGAAACAAACAAAGGGTCCAGGGTGAGATCTCTTGGAAAAAATCAGTCTTAAAGGAGGGACAGGATTGATGACAAGAATAAAGAAGATGCTCAGAAAAGAGCAGTGGTCCCAGCAAAGATCATGGCACTTGTAACAAGGAAGAGGTGAGCCGCACAATCTAGCAAAGGCGAGGATCCCTAACATCAGCCCCTGTAACCTTCACAAAAACCTTATGAAGTTGACGCCATTACCTTCACCTCATGAATGAGAGACTGATGTTCAGAGCTGGTAGGTGGGGAAGCTGGAGCTGGAATCCAGCTTCTCTGACTCCTAATAACCCAGGTTCTTGGTGAGTGATCCTCAGTGAGAACAAGCATGCTGGGTTGTTGACCTTTGTTCAACTCACTCATTTTCTCTCTAAATCGAGGGGACTCTTCTGTTATCTTGATTGTGGGCTTTTAAGACCTCAAGCTCTGTTTGCCTGACCATTTCCCCAACTAGTTGGGAGCACTCTAACTTCTGCTGTGGATTTTAAAAGAGGTTAGCAATTCCACCAAATCTCCCATACGCAGAAATAGGATCATGTCTGCCTTTCAAGCCTCAGATCAGTCCGGAATGCGTTTGGACAACCAATTAGAACCACTCAAAACTAACAATGCTTTGAAAGTTAGCTATTGATTGGAAATGGGAATGTCAAGTTACCTTTGCCCA